ATATATTTGAATTTGAATAATTCAAAGACCTTAAAGCGAAAGCGAATTCAAATGACACTCAATAAAATCAAGTATATAATATAGATTGAAATAAAGTAGAGAGGGGGGGGGGTTAACGTGCACTCTATACAAACTAGGTCATTTCCGGACTAATGCATGGTTCAATTCTATTACAATAATTTGCATGTGCGTTTTAGTGGTCTTTAGCAGTGGGTGGAAACCGGGGGCCCGGAGAAAACCCACGAGGTTGGATAGGTGACTATACTCCTTGTCACGTACAACCGGGGAATCGAAACCACGCCAGTTGACTCAATAACAGACCTTTTGATACAGGGCGCACATGCTAACCATTCAACCATCCATCCCCGCCTTCAAATAAAGGAACAAGCAATTCGATACACCCATCGTCCTCCAATAGCTTTCCAGTGTACATAAAATAGAAATGCATGGCGCTCGGTCACGGCAAATGCCACAGTAGTCAGCTAATATTCTCGGTTGCTGTGATTCTTTATTATTCTTTGGGTAAGGCGGTGGGGTGGAGGTTGCCCGATTGGTTGAGTTTTGTCATTGAGTCAACTGGCGTCGTTTCGATTACCAACTTGTACGTCACAAGGAATAGATTCGCCGTCTAAACTCGTGGTTTTTCTCCTGCTCCCCTGGTTTCCCCCATAGCTAACGACATTATGTGCAATCGAATTATAGTGTGCCTGTGTTTCTCCTTTCTCTCTCTCTCCCTCGACTGTTTTGAGTTTGAAATGGCCCACTGACAATAATTGGCTTTGGCTGTTTATTCTATAATAAAGGCCCAGCATACGAAAAAGTACGTTTTCCAAGTTGCAAGGTAAGTGAATAGCTGGAGATTTTAGAAAATGTTTTGTCTTAGAACTGAGATTTCTACTGGTAGTTGAGATTTTACAATATTTTTTTTTAACATAAGATGTGGATTAAAAATATTTATTTAATTTTATTTTCTTGGAGTATGGAGGCGGTCGTGGTGTTGTCGGGTAGTTATTGTAGTTGTAGTGCAAGAGAAGGGTATGAGTGTCATTGTTATATAATTTATATTCGTTGATTTTTGTCATGGCGGCGAGCAATATTTTCCATTTCTTATGTTTATAACATTAAAACATTTATTTCTTTGAGTTAAAGGTAAACGAAATGGGGTTTAACGTCCGACTGGGCTAATGAAGACAGGCATACGCCATATCGTGTCCTATAGATAAGGGAAATTCTGCCCGAGACCAGCGCTAATCCAGCTGCCAAGAATTCTTTTACGTCTCATCCGAATGAGTATACGTTGTCCTGCACCAGTGACAAGGGGGAACCACGCCGGTGGATTTCGGTGAATTTTCAGTATGATGCACATGGAAAGGTCATCTATATCTACAACTTGGTACCATAAAACTTCCTAAAACAATTTGTGGTGGGTCTGTAAGTATTTTGACCAGACCAATACTCAAATAGACTATCGCGAGACTAGATTCACGCATATTACTGTAATAGAAGTCTTCCATGTGAGCTATTGCGGGACATTTTGGCTGGTTTTCGGGACGCGGGACTTGGAAACATTTTGCGGGACTGTCCCGCGAAATGCGGGACGGGTGGTCACCCTACTTACCATTAAAATCATCATTCATTAACAATTAAACTATTGCTAAGTTGGATATTTGTGTGATTTGGCCATTTGAATGGGACTTTCTAATTATATGGAAAAGTTGATCGCCCAAGTAGCGTTACAGCGGTAGATTTTTTTCATTAAAAAGATTTATTTTTCTTGGTCACATCAAAGTTTCAAATTTTGCTCTGGAAAACGAATTCTTAATTTCCGCAGTCGGCTTTCTTCGTTTTTTTACGTACGTACAATTAACGATTGAATTTAACATTTGAACGCGTGCGCAGCCCTTAGTTAGAGAGAGAGAGAGAGAGAGAGATGTTGTCTGTATTTTTGTATTTTGAGCTGATTTTTTTAATGTTTACATGCAATAGACTATAGTTAAAACTTTCTAATAAGGGGTGAATCTTGTGGTTTACAAACGCAGTATGTAGAGAGTGCTTACCGTACCCATATTGTAGATGTTAAATATCCTTTATGATAATCCTATTTTGCTTCAAATAATTATCACAAATATAAAAATCATACACATCAAAAACAGAGGAGCACACGACATGCGCAAAGAAAAAAAGCCTTAAGCATTTTCAAATCGGTTCGGCAGCAGTGGTCCAAATGTCTAGCATTGCATCCGGAATTCCGTATAAGAATCTACTTAGAAGTCAAAAATGCGACTCCTACACATTGTCCTCTAAACTGTGTTATAAATTATGGAATAAACCGTAAATCAATTGAACCCATTTCATGGTGGAACTGCATGCTTTTTGATATGATTGGGCTATTTGTGGCGCCAGATAATCCAAAAATAGAAGTCATTACGTGAAAATGCGTCGACGAAAAAATCTTTGAGTCATATGACTGGAAAATTCTGTTATTAAAAACAACCGGTATGACAGTGACAACATAATAAGTTGAGAGTTCTACAATAGGGATCTTTTAGTGAAATGTTAGAGAAATTTAAGTTTAAATATATCCTTTGTGTTTGAATTACCACTTATGGTTGGTTGTGTCGTATTATGTAACAATCTGGAAATTTCTGTTTTATAGCTATTGTTCTCGAAAGTAAGACGCACAATTTTGCATCGTGTCGCGTTTTCATATTTTTAATAATTATGAAACAGTCAATGCGTGTCTTTTTGGTTATATTTCAGTTCTAGAAAAATGAGTTGTTGCTGGATTTGTAATAACTGAAACGTTTTGTAACCACATGTTAGAAATGGCAAATGCATAAAGATACTAAACACGAATGGCATAGCCATAATGGCACATCCGCCTATTAAATTTGACACAAAACCGGAGGCCAAATTCGCAGCGCCCTAAAATGATTAGAATCCGTGTCTTGTGACCAGGGTCCTGTTTCACGAAATTTTAACTAAAGATAAAATCCAAATTTTAGTAGATACTTCAATTTTGATTGGCTAAGCACTACAATCAGTCTAATATTATCCAATCAAATTACTAAAATTTGGATTGTATCTTTTTTTCTGCGTATTTAGAGCTAGCAACAATGTAACTTTTAAAGGAACTAAAGCGCCCACTAACAACAGAGTTTTACGGTTAAATAAAAGTAACTTTCACAGTCTTGCAGTGTCGGTATGTTGCCACGAGAGTGGATTTAAAAGATAGAAAAAGGGCGAAACTACATGAGTTGACTCTGAACCGAAAACCGTTACAATATATACGTCATTGGTTACAATCAACTAACTTAGAAATTAAATCGCTGAGTTTTAGCCAAAATTTTAATCTAGTTCTTAACTACTTATTTTTAAAAGTCCAACGAGTAAAGAATAATTTTTTACATGGCTTCATTGATAAATAAGTGAATGAATATTGTCACGTGAAGGTCTATTTTGGGCGACTATTTGCTGCTTACAGTGCACGAGCGAGCCCGTGAAAGCACTTTTCTCATAAACGAAGTTTTGTTCCGCGTGACAAAATGCTGTTAAAACAGGTCAGTTTATATAGTAGAGATAATAGAGGCTGTGGGCCACTCTAATTAAGGTGCTTTGCTTGTAACTCGGATTACGTGTTTATTGGTGACTTCATATTTTTCTCCTACTTCGAGAGTCAACGCCTACAAGGATCATTCGTGGTCTTTATAATCTCGCCTCGCGGGTGGCGGGTTTTCCGGGTTTGAAAACCAGCCATGTCTACTATATTAGTTCTGGGGACTTCCCACGGGTATTGGCTGGGCAAATTTATCGACAAAAACCCGTTGATATACGCTAATTTTAATCTTCATCCTTCAGAGGGAGAGATTAAAACACAGCTGTTCGGTATTCGAGGCGGCTGTGTATTGAATGATTCTCATGCACTGTCGGGAGTGGGAGGTGGCTATCGCTCGCTTCCAACCAACCCATTTAGTAGCGCAACTTGGGAGTAATGATGTTGATCGAACATGTTGGAATCTTGAGACAATCAATGAATTGGTACAGAGAATTGATTTATTGTTGGATGTCTGGCGCCGCAGGTTTCACCTGTCCGGTGTTACCTTTTGTCAGGTGATGCCCCGTTTGAAGGTTCGAAACTTACGGTCTGCCGATCATTTCAACGAACTCGCCTGGACAGTGACAATGAATATAAGGGCCCTACATGTAAATGACTTAAACTTTTCTGTGTGTCTCTTTCGAGGTATTCCGAGGTCCTCACCACCTCCTGCCTTATTTTATAAGCCCATTACGGAGGGTGTTCATAGCGACCGAGGTAACAAGAGTTATTTTCGTAATGTCCGGGGTGCTATCATCCGCATGTTACGACGATGTTGTAGCAGGTAAGACTTAATACTACTTTAAGTTCATGCCACACTAAAGTAGACCTTTGTTAACCTACTTATGCTAGGTGTAAACCTGTAGCCCATGTCTCGTGTTGCCAACCCAAAACTAAACGAGTTGGGCAATCATCTGTTTTATCACAAAGACCAAATAAACGCCCTCGGAAGATTTCTGTGCCAGCCACCTCAAGGCTAACCCCTGTGGCATCCACATCTCGGTTACCCTCTACAGCCAAGTCACAACAAGTGCCAACTGACAACTGCCTCACTACTGATTCCAGTCAACTTCCTCCAGTCGGTAATTGCTTACCTTCAGCTGCCAGTGTACATACCCAGATCCAGGAGGTGCCAGCCACCTCAATGCTAACCTCTCTGCCATCCACCTCTCATTTAACCTCTACGGAAAGCTCACACCAAGTCCCAACTGACAACTGCTTCACTACTGTTTCACGTCAACTACCTCCAGTCGGTAATCCTTTAGGTTCAGCCGCCAGTGTACATACCTAGATCCAGGAGGCAATAACAAATGCCATCCCAGTCATCACCCAAGCAGTCCTGGCATCTATAAATTCGACATCTCGGGCATCACAGCCTCCACTAATTCCTCATGTGGATGAAGGTATGTCCTATATACACCCTACTGTTCAAACCAATCTCGCTAATAATGATACAGGTACAAATGCACTGTATAATAGTACTCTAGCCACAGCTCAACCTTTGTCCTTTGTGGTTGACCCAAAAATTAAAGGCAAGATTTGGGCCAACGAATATGTTGAAATGTCCCAAATGCTAGTTTCGAAAGCCCCTAAATGCCGCTTCCTACTCAGTGAATCTTCTGATAACCAATTTTTATTATGTAAGGATGAAGCCCCACCCAAACTACATGGTGTCACGCAATGGCTTAAAGCGTTTCATGTATTTGTCAGCATATACCCTGACAAATTTCCTACAGAAACACCTTACTTGATGAAATATATTTCGACCATCCACGAATTAGCTAGTCAAGCGGGTGAGGCTGCAGCATTGGACTATGACACGAAATTCCGTCTTTGGCGCCAGTCCACATTAATTCCGTGACAATGTTTAAACATTGAACTCTACCAAAAAGCTTTGGCATTTGGCATATAACCCCTTCTTTTCGTGCAAGACCTTATAATAAACCAAGCAGCAGAGCTGAAACTAACAAGCCAACTACTGAGCAAAAGTTGTGTTGGAACTACAACAACACAGGGTCATGCACACGGTCACCATGCTCCTTTCGACATGCTTGCCAAAGATGTCGAGGTACCCACCCTCGTTGTAGCTGCCCATGCAAGCAAAATGCAATGCCTGGGACCCAAAACTCTAGCCTATCTAAACCAACAACCTCTAACAAATATGCCCCCAAATCCATTTAATTGCATGGACAATTCGATAACAACACCGGTCAAACCTAACCGATTACAATTTTGGCTAGAGCTCTATGATTCTGGTAAGCGTGATTATTTGGTCAACGGATTCACCCATGCTTTTCATATCCCCTTTGAGGGGACTCGAAACCCCACAATTTCCAAAAATTTGCGTTCTGCTCTTGCACATCCTGCAATTATTAAGGACATCATAGATAAAGAAGTTGCCGCAGGCCATTTTACAGGGCCTTATAGCACTTTACCCATCCCTAACCTCAAAATTAGCCCATTGGGTTTAGAAAACGCTTATAAAATTGTTCCAATTCACCCCCATGATCGCCCCCTGTTAGGGTTCAGTTTTGATGGCAATTATTTCTACGATAAAACCTTGCCTTTTGGACTTAGTTTCTCATGTCGACTATTTGAAGAGTTTAGTACAGCTATCCATTGGATTATGGAATCAAAATTTAAGGCCAAAGGTACTCTGCATGTCCTTGATGACTTCTTGTTCGTTGGACCTCCTCAGTCTCCAGCATGTGCACAATATCTGGCATCCTTCCATGCCCTTTGTTCGGACATTGGCATTCCCATCAAACATGAAAAAACGGTCCAACCAACCACATGCTTAACCTTCCTGGGTTTGGAATTTGATACCTTGACAATGGAACTTCGTCTCCCACAGGATAAATTAGATAAACTCAAAAATAATCTGTTCTCTTTTTTAAATTTAAAAACAAATTCCAAAGTCACCCTACGAGACTTACAGGTCTCCTAAATTATGCTTGCTACGTGGTATCCCCTGGCAGAGCATTTTTACGGCGTATCATAAACTTGACCATTGGCTTAAAACGTCCCCATCATAGACGTCGCCTTACCGCTGAGGCCAAAGCTAAAATGCAAGTCTGGCTTGACTTTTTAAAAACATTTAATGGCAAAGCCTTGATATTGTGTGGGAATGTGTGGATCGAAATTAACATTCGTGATCTCTTTCCGATTGTGCTGGCAGTAGAATTATATGCTCCTATTTTGAAAGACTCCTGTGTCAATATTTATTCAGATAATTTGTCAGTGGTTCACATTTGAATAAGCAGACATCAAAAGACAAAGTAATTATGCGATTAGTTCGTCGATTTATGATTTCAATTCTGAAGTATAATATAATATCAATGGTTGATATGAATAAGGATGGATGAACTCTCTAGACCATCGGATGGATAAACTCTCTAGACCATCGGATGGATGAACTCTCTAGACCATCGGATGGATAAACTCTCTAGACCATCGGATGGATGAACTCTCTAGACCATCGGATGGATGTGATATTACATGGATTAGAATACCTGTAAGATCCATAAATCTAACATAAAATGGATAATTCAGACTTAAAGGCCACATTGAAATTTTTAATGTAGTATTCCCTTTCCATGTTCTGTTTTTAATCTATTATAGCGAGAACTGTAATTGAGCCAGGTGATCGGGACAGATTCCAATCTGATCATTTTGAATAGGAAGCAGACATAATATTAACGTCTGACGATTCTGCACCAACTGGAATAATTAAAGATACATTCTGTAAGATTTAGATAAAGAGCTGACCATTCTTGCTATAATAACTCAAAAATAGATAATGTAAAATCAAAACATTGAAAATTTCATTCAAATCACTTTATTGTTTGTAGTTTTGACAAGATGTGTGCATTGCAGTAAACAGGTCACTGGTATATTCGAGACTTAGCCTCCCTTTCCCATTTTCAAATTAAATTTTTAAATAGCCAACTGTTCTAATCTAGTTAAAATCTCAAGTATCCCATGGCATCGACAGTTGATTATGGTCTTGTTTTGCTAATAAATGTCTAATTAATAGTTAAGATAACATTTAAGGCCTGAAGAAAGACCTGCAATAGGAAGATTTAGCTCTTGTATAATGCATGTTTAACACAGGCTAATTTCCATTCTCTGTCTTCAATAGCCCAGTCGCAGCATTATTCCATTCATGCTTGGTATCCCAGGTGAATTTTACCCTGATATTTTACTACAATTAGAGTAAGTGGCCAATCTGATTAAAATACACATCTATGTTTCGTTTCGTTTTTTTTATACTTTCGAAGGCCTACAATACATGAAGATCGGACGGGTTATAGCAATAGGTTCCGTCAGAGGTCATACGAGCGGCTTTTGAACCTATAACATCAGACATTTGATTAAACAATCAGCATTGATGTTTCTAGTGAATTACCCACAGTTCCGTGCAAGACACGCCTAAAGCTTGCCGTAATAGACCGTTTTATTGGCTAATCCCTCACTTCAAGCAGAACACGAGTTAAATAACAACTCTTCCAGATCCTAGTGTAGTAAAGACAAGTAAAACTAAATTTTGAACTATAAAAAACGAAACGAAATAGGATCTGTGTTTTAATCAGATTGAGTAACTGTACATCAGATTTTTAGGCAACAGATAAAAGATACATTTCCGTGACTCTCGATAGCGATTCTGTCAGTTACCAGAGAGAGAGAGAAAAATGGGGTTTAACGTCCACTCGACACAAACTAGGTCATTTCGGGACTAACATGGTTTAATTTTATTTACATAATTCGCTTGCGCGTAGGAGTCTTTAGCAGTGGGAGGAAACCGGAGGACCCGGGGAAAACCCACGAGGTTGGACAGGCGACCCTACTCCTTGTCACGTACAACCGGGGACTGTCAGTTACCAACACCTGATGGCAATTCATGCACTGTCAATTCTGTGACACTGGACAGCAATTCTGTTAACTACAGACCGACACATGACCACCATTGATATTGATAGTACTGTATCTCTACAAATCATTACACGTGTTTCACGACTGACTGGACTCAATTCTGTATCACTTGCTTGCTCTTCTGTTTCACTCCCTCGCTATTGTGTGTCACTCCCTTGTAAATCTGTGTGTGATGTATGCTTGTGACTAGTATGAAGAGAGCGAGAAAGAAATGAGGGTTTAACGTCCACTTGATACATTTTGGGACTAACACACAGCTCAATTGTATTTCATAACTCCTTGTCACGTACAAGTGTGGGAATCGAAACCACCCAACCCCCTACATATAGTATGAAGATGATTATAGTGATAGTTGTGTGTGTTATTTGTATTTTATACAATGTTGATTTCTAGCTATCAATGTTCAATCATGAAGCAGGTGATTTTATTTCTGACGTCTTGTACACCCAGGTATCATCAATATTTCTGAAAAACTAAAAACAAAAAAAATATTGTTATAAAAATGAAGCATAATATCCTAGCTACGTGGTCACATCCTATTCTGATTTTACTATTCCAATATTGTTCCACATGGGTCATTCAATGTCAACTGGACCAAATTTTGGAAAGTTGGGAACATGACCCCTTCCAAAAAAATTATAAAAAAAATATATGTTATAGTATATAGTCTTAACCTAACAAATACGAAAATTTTACCTCTCTAGATAAAAAACTTACTGCGATATGGCCATTTAAAATTAGGGTACTGAAACGGACTATAAATTGAAAAGTTTTTCTCTGGTTTTCAATTGCTTTAAAGTTTAAACTCACATTTGTAATTGGAGTACAACTCTCTAACTTTGTAATCTATGACAACTTTTGGTGAAGATTACGAATTTAGCATCACACTTAATGTGCAATTTAAACTTTTTGGGCCACCAGGTGGCAAAATGCTATTCACTTTTTTTCACGATTTACACAGCCTCTGGCAAAGTCACTGTTGTATACATAACCTCCAAAATTGGCATAGTTAATGTCAGTTGCTATTTTATCTATTTACAAAAGATCCTGAGTCGATTGAATATAATATGTTTTCTATTGCTAGGGGATACTTTGCAATCCATTATTCTATTGTTGTCTAATGATCGTTTAGAATTAAATCCTGAAATATCTTCATTAAAGATACATGAACACCTTATATGTGAATCCCGAATAACGAGGTGAAAAACGAATAACAAACAGCTCGTTATTCTTTATTCACCGCTTGAATAACAATCTGGTTTATTTATCGACTATACGTAATTTAATATGTTTTCTACTGCTAGGGGATACTTTACATTCCATTATTCTATCGTTGTATAGTGATCGTTTTGAATTAAATCCTGAATTATCCTCATTAAAGATGCATGAACCACTTCATATGTGAATCCCGAATAACGAGGTGAAAAATGAATAACAAACAGCTCGTTATTCGTTGCTTGAATAAAAATGTGGACAGTTTTCGTCTAGAAGTCGTTTTGCTGTCTTTTATACTACTGGGGGATACTTGACAGGCATCTTTCTAGTCATGGCTAGCTGCATATTTGAATCACGAATAAAAAGCTGAATAACGAATAACGAGGTGGCGTATCCCTCATTATTCGTGAATAACGAGGTGATCCACCTCATTATTCGTTATTGGTGAATAACGAAAAACGATCCAACTTCACACTGCCTTCAAGATGATCAAAACACACAAAGAAAAAAATAGGCGTGGCTCTGCTCCTGGGGGTTGGTCACAAAAAAAACAATAGCGATCATTCTTAGGGTATAAGGAATAAGTATGCACAACTTCAAGACAATCCATTAAAGGACAATATTGGTGTCAGTCAGTCATGTGATAGAACTGGTTAAATACATCCCAAATATAATTTTAACACAGAGATCATTGCTACAGGAGATGAGTAACAA